GCCATGCTAACACGCCCAGCCATGCACGCACAGCCACACGCATGCACGCATCTTGCGATGCTTGGGGCATACGATGTGCGTGTGCTAGGCAATGCTAGGCACCCCTGACACACATGGGTTGGTGACCTCACCTAGCCTAGCACTCGTATGGCTAGGCCAATGCGAGGCTACGGCTTGGCTCGAACTTGTCGCTTGCTTGATTCCACGTCTCGTCGATTTCTAAATTTGACTCGACTGGCGACGCTCGGTCTCGACGCTCTGAGCTCGATATCCGACGTCTTTGTTCGTAATACTCTAACGACTCATCTAATCCTTCGGATTGATTCGTCAATTCGAATCGGTTATCCGATTGGGGTGCGACCCGAAGGATTCAGTCAAGATTAAGCCGCAATATTAATTATGCATTAATATTACTGATCGGAAGCGGCCTCCACCTAGGCATTCCGATCACTTGACCTCACTAAAGAATTAGCTTTCTACTAATTCCGAACCCTCTATCGGAATAATACACTTGTTGGATGGACACCATTCCTTTCAATCTCCCACTTGTCCTTCCGGACAAGTGTGCAATGAGTGTATAGCCATTTTCCTATGTCGCTTATGTCTCTTCATGAACTATAAGGTAAGATTCTTCGTCATCCTTATTACGTCCAAAAGTGTTTCTCGATTCCCGAGTTTGACTGTCAATAAGCAGATGATTTCTAAAATCCATCTGAGCATGGCCATGCATTTTCACAGTCTCGCTCTTCGAGAGGCCTTGTAAACAACAAAGACATATTCCCTATTTTTAATAGAGGGCATTCCCAGTCTTGTACTATAAGCTTCCCTTACTAAGAGGACCTAATCGCCCGAGTGTTGTCGTTATAATCCCCATTTACGGCAGACGTTTGACAATATCAAAACGACTAGTACTCAAATAAGAGAACTTGCAATACTCATGGTCGAGGAAAAAGGTTTCGATAGCTATAATGAGAAATATACTTATGACGATTTTATATCTCTTAAAGTATTCTCATAGGTCGATCCGGTACAGTTCCAAACTAGTACCTGTGCAAATGATTTATGACAATCATGTCCTCGTAGCACAAGAAACGGTGCTATAAATCATACTACACACTAATCTCAAGTGCTCTTGATCGTCCATCGTTTAAATGACCTTGATTAGGGAAAATTTTCGATTAAAATATCCAATGTTCACTTAACAGGTGTTTCTTTATCCAAGACATGGTCTTGATACCCTGTTTTGAATATTCTCAGTAATCGAATGGACTCATTATTTAATTCTAAACCACAATTAAATAGAATTGGAGTAATAACAAATTTGCAGAAAATTTAATTGCTCCAAAATCGAATGGTTTAACATAGTGTTTTACATTAACACATCAAGTTTAATTAAAACACATGTACAGGGAATTCAAAGCCAATCTCCAACATGCTTGATTCCCATTGCCTCAACGTGCTTGTTTTGCTTCACTTAAGGCAAAGGTTTAGTCAATGGATCGGCTACATTGTCGTCCATTCCATTCTTACAAATTCTGATTTCACCCTCGGACTTCCATTCCCTTATCACGTAAAATCGCCGCTTGGCATGTTTGACTTTCTGGTGTTCCCTTGGCTCCCTGGCCTGAGCAATAGCTCCATTGTTTTCACAATAGAGGTCTATTGGACCCTTGATGGAGGGTACATCACCAGTTCACTAATGAACTTACGAATCCAAACTGCCTCCTTAGCTGCTTCCGAAGCTGCCAAGTATTCGGCTTCAGTTGTAAAATCTGCAGTGGTGCTTTGCTTAGCACTCTTCCAACTAAACGTTCCTCCATTTAGGCAGAATATGTACCCTGACTGTGACTTGGAGTTGTCTCTGTCAGTCTGGAAGCTTGCGTCAGTGTAACCTTCAACAACAAAATCATTACAACCATCACAGATTAGAAACTTATCCTTATTCCTTTTTAAGTACTTTAGGATATTTTTGGCCGCAGTCCAATGTAATTTCGTTAGGTTTCGTAGCGTGCAACGCTACGCGGAAGAGAAACCCGCCCAAGACCCGCTCACTAATTAAAGCAACTAAATATTTAATCACATTATTAACAGCATAAGAGAGAGAAAGAGAAAAGACATTCTTATCGTTGACGCGTGCTTTGCTCAATTCACAAGCTCTTACTTCAAAGCTCGAGCCTCGCAAGTGCGACTGCCTCCTACGGCTCGCACCCTCGACCCGACCCGAACGGTCTTAATCCCGAAGGTTAGTCGGGACTTGACCAATAAAAACTAGAGTATTACGAACTTAAGGTTTTCTCACTTTACTAAATAGATGCATTTTTAGTTCCACTCAAGTGATTTTTCCCAAATCCAAAACTTGGGTATTTATTAGGAATGGAGACTTGAACTCCCTTCTCCCATCAATGTGGGAGATTTGCATTTTCCACTTATTTATTTTAATCAAAAACAAAATAAAAAATGCAAGGCAATCAACAAGCTCCAAGTGTCACAAGGAGGGAGAGAGTAGGTGAGGACCACCCAAAGGGGGGGGGGACCAAATCACCTTGCTCCCCAAGCCAAGCACCAACCATCTTTGGTCCCCTCCTTGATTGGTTGACCAAGCCACATTGCAGGTTGGCAGCCTGCCTTGGCTGCCAAGGCTGCCAGCTGGCGCCTAGCACCAAGGCTGGGCTGCTGGCTAGCCTGCCCACGCACATGCGCAACCACACAGCCATCCAACGCATGCATCGCTGCGATGCTGCTGCGTGATGCTGCTTGGTGCTGCTTGCTATGCGAGTGGCGAGGTGCTTGGTGCTGCTCGCTACCAAGCATGTTAAGCTACACACACGCACACAACGCGCTGCTGTGATGCGTGTGCTGTGCGAGTGCATTGCTTGGTGCGAGGCTACGAAGAGCTGGGCGCTAGGACTTAGCATGCTAGCAAGCACGCAAGGCACCATGCCTGCGATGCTTGCGATAGCAAGGCCCAGCAAGCACTTGCGTGCTGCTGGCCTTGCGATGCTTGCGGGCTAGCGAGGGGCTTGGTGCTTGGCCTAGCATGATGCGATGGCTGGGGCTGCCATGCTAGCACGCCCAGCCATGCACGCACAACCACACGCATGCACGCATCTTGCAATGTTTGGGCCATGCGATGTGCGTGTGCTAGGTAATGCTAGGCACCCATGACATGACACTTAGCCTAGCACTTGCATGGCTAGGCCAATGCGAGGCTCCGGCTTGGCTCGAACTTGTCGCTTGCTTGATTCCACGTCTCGTCTAATTCTAAATTCGACTCGACTTGCGACGCTCGGTCTCGACGCTCTAAGCTCGATATCCGACGTCTTTGTTCGTAATACTTTAATGACTCATCTAATCCTTCGGATTGATTCGTCGATTCGGATCGGTTATTTTATTGGGGTGCGACCCGAAGGGTTCAGTCAAGATTAAGCCGTAATATTAATTATGCATTAATATTACTGATCGGAAGCGGCCTCCACCTAGGCATTTTGATCACTTGACCTCACTGAAGAATTAGCTTTCTACTAATTTCGAACCCTCTATCGAAATAATACACTTGTTGGAAGGACACCATTCCTTTCAAATCTCCCTTTGTTCGGGTTCTTAAAAAAAAGGAGAGATAATAATAATAACAACAACAACAACAACAACAACAACAACAACAACAACAACAACAACAACAACAACAACAATAATAATAATAATAATCAATTACTTAATAAATTCATCACTTTTCTTTTAATATAAGGAAAATATGTGAATCAAAATTATTACAATTATATGACTTGGTGAATATTTTGTGTATATTTTAACATAGATAGTTTAAGTTGATGGAATTGGTAAGTAAAAAGAAGTTTTGGAAGGAAAAATAAGGCACTAGGAAGTTACATGTGTTATTTGTTTTAGTCCTACAGTACATGACATATATTGCTATATATGTTGTAAATATTATGTGATGGGTGGGGTTTCGGTGGTTTCTAAGGAGGAGTGAGGTGGTGGGTGGGGTTCTTGGTGGTTTCGAAGAACGAGTGAGGTGGGGTAGAGAGGGGGGTTATGGTGGTTTAGGGGAAAGGGAGGTGGGGTGGGTCATGGGTAGGGTTTCCTATAGTTTCGAGAAAAGAGAAGTAGGGTGGGTGGGTGGGTGGGGTCGTTTCAAGGTAAGGGAGGTAGGGTGGGTGGGGCATTCAGTTGTTTTGAGGAGATGGGGCAAGGAAGGAAGGGGTAACAACCATGGATAAAAAAGGAAATGGTAGTGGAAGGGTTGGTGGTTATGGTGGTTAAAGGTGGTTGGGTGGCTGCACTCCAGCCACTAATTCACCTAGCAGCACGATGGTGGTATGTGAAGAGGTGGGGTTAACGGGAGGTGGTTGCTTTTTTTTCTTTAATTTAAATCATTTTTTTAAAAGAAAAACGTAAAAACTAAAGGAAAAAGCTATCAATCATATTGCGACACGTATCACAATTTCTATTAAGCAGGTTAACAACCAGTCATGTTCTATTTTGAACATATGTCCGTTATAGGTCATTTTATTTTGGAATGAATAATCAAAATGTCGTTTTATTTATAAAAGACTAGCTAAAGATTTTTTTAGTTTAGACAATTCTTCCTAAATATGGCCGTTTTTAGCAAATGTATGTGTGTGGGGAGGAAAATGGATGACTATGTTGCCCTTTCACTGGTCTTATTGGGGGGCGGGTGATTTTGAGGATTTTTATGCATTTGGTGGTAAAAGGTTTTAAAAAAATATATCAAGGTAGAAGGCCTTTTCATGATACTATAGGGGAAAATGTAAACTAGATATAAAAGAGTTACAAAAATAAACTAGATATAAAATTGTTTAAAAAGATTATTTTTACATTTAGTGCGATGTAAAATAAATCAAACATATGCTAAATGTGGGTACAAAAAAAAAATATATTTGATCCTCGTACTTCTAATAAAATGAAACATTTCACCACCTTAGCTCGCTAAATTTAATAATGCTTAAAAAGCACATTTTATTAATTTTAACAGAAGTGCATAGTGATACACTGCATTAGTAATACGGTACGCGGTGTTTGCTATACAATTATCACATATCAGGACAGGAAGAACAAAAGAAAACAAAACAAATAAGAAGAACAAAAGAAAACAAAACAAATAACATATCAAAATCGAAAAAGAAAAAAAAACACTAATCAAATAACAAGTTTCTCAGAAAATCATTTCCACATTCAAATAAAAAATTTGACTAGGACCATTTATGCAACACAATTCAACCCCACTCACTAGTTGAAGAGACAAATTTAACATACGAGGAAGTCGATAATAAAACATAACAGAAGAATAAAAAAACAAATAAAATAACAAAATCCATTAATTAAAATACGTAAAAAAAATCCAAAAAATACTTATCCTTCCTCTTAATTCCAACATTGACACGTTCACCCTCTCTCTCATCCCTCCTATAAAACCCCCCGCACCCTCCTCATTACCTGCCAAACAAACAAAAAATCACACTCTTTCAACCTCCACTCTTCTCCTTTTCTCTGACCCCACTAGACACTTCCTCAACCCGACCCGACCCGAATGGATAGAGGAGTAGCCGTCGGTGAACCGTGGAGACCCGACCCGTCAATTCAACCCGACTTGTTATACAAACCACCAGAAACTCCGAAAGAACCCATGGAATTTCTATCACGTTCTTGGAGTGTTTCGGCTCTTGAGATTTCTAAGGCCTTAACTCCGGCTTCTAAAGGCATGCTTTCTAAGGCTATGTTTGGTGGGTTTTCTGGTGGTGGTGTCTCTGTTGGCGGCAGCGATACTCCCATTTTGGAAGATGTTGTTGCCGAAGAAGCGGCCGCCGCGGCTTCCGGTGGTAATGGCAATGCCTTCTCTTTTGCTTGTTCTGAAACTTCTCAGCTCATCTTGGAGCGCATTATGTCACAATCGGTTAGTTTTTTTATTTATTATTCTTCTTTAATTTTTATGAATAATATTTTAAAATTTTCTTCATTTGTAAATTTTTGACAAGATTATGTTGTTTGTTTGTTTGCTTGTTTTTTTCAGGTTCAATTTCAGGTTTTTTTTTTTCTAATTTTAGAAGGGAAATTGATCAAAAAAACAATTTGTAATTTTTATTTTATTCGGTTGATTGGGTATTAATAATAATCTATGGGAATTGACTTGCAAGACAATAAATAATACTGACAAAATTAAAATCCAGTTTCTTTTCAGGTTTTTTTGGTGATAAAAACATTTTTGTAATTTTTATTTTAAGGTTGATTATAAAGTGAATTGATAAATCTCAGGAAATTGACTTGTAAGACAATAAATTAATAATACGGAATAATATTGACAAAATTAAAATTTTGTGGGTTGAGTAGATTAATTATATTTTTGTTTGTAGTACAGCTGTTTTGATTAAATTGGCAAGTGCAGTGTTTTTGCTTGGAGTGCGAAAATGAATTATTTTATTTGGGGATTTCTTTTTTGTTCAATTTTTAGTTCCCAATACGGAATATTTGAATCTAGAAGCATAAAAGAATAGCGCTAGGTTTCTATCTTAAGCTGTCTTCTTCTAATGTACCTACTCGTTGATCAAGGAGTGTTTCTTAATTACACTCGATTTGTCCAGAATCAATAATCACCTTAATCGATTGTGTAATTTGAACTAATAATAATGTTACAAAATTGGAATGGTTGGAGGTAGTAGCTAGTAGGACTTGTGTTTTAAGGTTAATAAATAAAGTGGTAGTACTAGTAATTGATTTATTCTTTTTTGATATGTGACTTTGTAATGATGACTAGTGTGCTAGTGGATAAATCACTAATATAAAAATATAACATTGGGTTGGTTGGTTGTCTTACAGCAAGAGGTATCTCCCCGCACTTCTGGTCGGCTCTCGCATAGTAGTGGCCCACTCAATGGCTCCTTGACTGATAGTCCTCCGGTTTCTCCTTCTGAAATGGACGATGTCAAGGTTTGTCTCTCCATCTTATTTTATGTTCAGAACTAATTGTCACGTATTTCTTACTGAGTATTTCATATAATTTAAACCAGTAATGTGCCAACTAAATCAAAATCGGGATTGGGATCGAGACAGTAAGAGATGATGTCAATTTATTATGTGGGTGAAAAAAGTTTGTTTCCTATAACTATAGCTCAAAAAGTAAATAGATGGGCTCAGAAGTGTGTCTAGTGGTCTGTGTGGGTTACAAACACAAGACTGACGAAATTAGAAGAGGACGATTTCTTGTGATCTTTGCCTTTTTTTTTTCCTTAAATTTTTTCATTCATTTAATTTAATTTATTTCTTTAATTTTTTTAAGGACGCTTTATCAGAGAATGCTTTTGTATTTGCACCCTTGCGGCCTTGCCTAATGATTCTTTTGTTTCAAAATCCGTAGTAAGGAAAACCGTCAGTTTTATTATTTAAAAAAATTGCAACAATTTCCTATTTCTTTACTTTTTTATCCTACCTTTTGAAAAAGTTTTACCGTAGGTAGTGTGGGAAAAATACATGGTTTTCACTGGAATGGCTACCTCGTTTTGGTAGTTACGGAAACTTATGATTTAGGCTTTTTGTGTATATGTATACTTGGGAAAATTAATACTCGGACTACTACTAGTATTAATTGCATGGAAAATGACTTGATAAAATCGGAAAAATCATGATTTACCGAGTGGGTAATCTACCTATTGCATGGAAAACGACTTGATAAAATCGGAAAAATCATGATTTACCGAGTGGGTAATCTACCTCGCCTAGGTAACAAAATGAGACACGTATATGTAGCGTTAATATAAATAATCAACAACGATTAAGTGATTAACGTGTGATTATGTCATTAATTACATAAATTGATGTGAGTATAAATTTAAGTTATGCGATGGATGTTTATACTCGATCTTAGAGCTATTTATTGAACAAAGCGATTTTTCTTCCCAATTTATTTGGGTAATTCAACCACAAGGTAAATGTAATACAAAGATCACTTCAATAAAAATTGTTAAATTGAATTGGGAAAGAACATGTGAAAAAAGTCACTATCTCTTGAAACAAGGTCATTTAGGCCTTGTTTAGTTCACCTTATTTTTACTTATTTCAGAAAAAAAAAGTTCAGATCAGATCAGAAAAAATAAGTTCAGATCAGAACATCGTTTTATGTGCGGTTTTTTATCGCTAAATATTCTTAATTTCGTAATGAAAAAAATTGTGAAAATTACATATTAATAAACTATACATTATTACGAATCTAACAAGATCCCACTTGATATATTTTTTCCTTATAGATTATCGTACACTTAAGGTCATAGTTTGGTCAAATCAGACAATCAGATCAGATCAGAAAAAATAAGTTCAAATCAGATCAGAAAAAATAAGTTCAGATCAGATCAGCATAAATAAGGTGAACCAAACAGGGCCTTAATTTCTTTGGATATGTGATTATTTTAAGGGCTTGAATTGATTGACATTTCAATTTCAATATCTATAGTAAGCTTCTCACATTTACTTGCAATAAATTGAAAAGAATGTTGTGACCACTTTTAATTTAGTGCTTGCTTATTATCTCCTCGAGACATGCATTATTGAGATGACAGCCCATTTGATGACACCCATTTATTAGACTACTGTTAACCAAGAGTTAGGTTGATGTCAATACAACCCTGATAAAAAGAATTTCTGTGCTAACTTAATAAAAGTAAACTTATTTCTAGTTAATTTTGGTTTCAGCCACTTTTACTTTTGATGATTTATTATCCACAATTGTCTTTATCTTTAATTTTGGTTATGATATACTTGCACTCTGTATGCCCTTAAGGCTACGTATAAGCATTTAATCCATTTCCTAAACCTATTTGGCTCATATGCAGTACTGTCGCCTCAACAATCACGCAAATACGCAGTACAGATCTAACAACCCTGTTGGAGTTACCCCTGCTGCTGGTGGGAAAACTGTTGGGAGGTGGCTTAAGGACAGGAGAGAGAAAAAGAAGGAAGAAACGAGAGCACAGAATGCGCAACTACATGCTGCTGTCTCTGTGGCAGGTGTTGCTGCAGCGATTGCTGCAATCGCTGCTGCAACTGCTGCATCGTCAGGAACTGGCAAGGATCAAGAGGCTGCAAGAACTGATATGGCTGTTGCATCTGCTGCCACCCTCGTGGCAGCTCAATGTGTAGAGGCTGCTGAAGCTATGGGTGCTGAGAGGGATCATTTGGCTTCGGTTGTTAGCTCTGCAGTCAATGTTCGATCTTCTGGTGACATCATGACTTTGACTGCTGCGGCTGCTACTGGTAACTTGACACTTGATAGTAATAGGCTTAACAATTTCCATTATATATTCATTAAGTCAATTTTATTTCCCATTTCAAATTAACAAATTTCATTGGAGCTGAACACTATCTAATTAATTTTGCATAACAATTTTCATTAAGGCCACCACTTTCTTTTCTGACATTCAAAAACTTAGGACAACGTGCTTTTTATGAATTTCTTTGTTAGGATCTTTGGAATCACAGAGTGAGCTTTTCTTTTGAAAGTCACAATAAATAAATCACAGAACGAACTCTCATACCATCTTTATCAACATTTTGGTGGATAATAAACAAAAAATACCTGATATCTTTGAAACTTCATTGATTTATTGCTTTAGTGTTTGGGTACCTTGCTTCCTAATTGTATGAAAATTGCATTTGTCATACAACATAGCTCTGTTAAAAAGTACTCCGTACAAGATAATAAATTATGTAAAGTTTAGACAAGAATTGTGTAAAATGATTTAATTCATTGGATGACATTTATTAGTGTTACATGTTAGATATATTATTAAAGGTGCTATATCATTTCAATTAATGAGATTGCAATTGTTCAAATTGTCCAGCATTGCGCGGGGCAGCTACACTGAAAGCGAGGGCATTAAAGGATGTGTGGAACATTGCAGCTGTGCTTCCAACTGAGAAAGGGGTGACTGTTAGCAATGGCAGCAACGGTTCTAGCGGGAGTCATAGTGGTGAAATCATGCCAGAAGATAATTTCCTTGGGATCTGCAGCAGGGAGTTGCTTGCTAGAGGCTGCGAGCTTTTGAAACGTACTCGTAAAGGTATCATAATTCTTGCTGATTGGTTTTACAGCTTTGTTGCTCATGAATCTTATGATTAATGCATTTTAGTAGGTGATTTGCGTTGTACTACTGACCAATGAGTATTTCCTTTTGTCGTGTTTACCGTACAGGTGATCTTCACTGGAAAATTGTGTCTGTTTACATCAATAGAATGAACCAGGTAAGTTTATTTATGTACTTGATTGCTTACCTAGACAGTGATTGATGTAATCTTATACTATACAACATGAAAATTTTATTTAACAACTTAATAGTGGATCCAAAAAAAAGTTAGATGAGGTTGAGTAGTTGATGATTCGTAGTCTGATTAGATACATAAGGTATCTTAAGAGTAACTTTTTTCTATTTTTAATCAAGAAAAGCCTTTGAAAGTAAAAAGTTAAAGTAATCTACAGTCGATCAAAGATGAGTCCGCCATCATTTAAAATTTGTAACGTCCTTTTTATTTCTTCATTGTAGGTTACACTAAAGATGAAGAGCAGGCACGTTGCTGGGACCATAACAAAGAAGAAAAAGAGTGAGTTACATTTGCTTTTGTCTCTCTTTCATAATGTGAACAAATGTTTTATTAGTGTGGGTCTGTAAGTCTTCATTCCTTTCCTGGGGATCTGAGAAAGCTAATGGTTAATGAGGTGGTAAAATATGAAAAGCTAACATCTTTAAGTTTGATTCCTCTTTTTTCCTTTTTTGATTTCCCATATTCGATCGTCTTTGCAGATGTGGTGATTGAAGTCATCAAAGATATGCCGGCTTGGCCAGGCCGTCATTTGCTTGAGGGTGGTGACTGCAGGAGATATTTCGGACTTAAGACCATCTTACGTGGTGTTGTAGAATTTGAGTGTCGTAACCAACGTGAATATGAAGTTTGGACAGAAGGTGTCTCGAGGCTTCTCTCTCTCGCTGCTGAAAAGAACACCAATCGACATAGGTTCTAGGGTAGTAGTATAGTAGTATATCTCGTTGTGATGAACGTCGTTATGGTTAAAGCCGTAATGGTTGTGCCGTTGTAGAATGTGATGTTTTTTGCAAGGTGATGACTTTTGGGGGAGATGGGTATAGGGTAAAAGGGAGAAAAAATTAGGACATTGGTACAAACCATATGTTTAAAAAAAATGGTGGGGGGTTGGTTTTTGGCTTTCTTTTGAAAGTGTTTGTTATCCAATGTAAAAAGTAGCAATTAAAGAAACAAAAGCATTGTGTAATTGGTTCTTCTTTACTCTTTTCTTACAGTGGATAAAATTTTGTAGTGTGATAGTCTTAGGCTATGTTCAAATCATCTAATATGATCCAATGTGAATTTTTTGATCTAATCTTATAACTTAGCAAAACCTTGAACTTATGAGTAATTTTTAATTAAAAAATTAATTAAATAATAAGCCAGATTCCTATAGATGTTCATGTTCTTAATACAAATTTTTTGAACAACTTTATTAAGAAATTGTAGATAATCTGTGCTAGATATTTACTTAATCGGCAATAAACAATGTAACAAACACAATTAAAATGAATTGGATTCGATCTCATCTACTCCTTTCGTAAGTTTTTACTTGCTCCATTTGTATTTTGTGCACTATTCATTTGACCTACTCTGACTAATGTTTGTGATTTATACATAAGAAAAAAAAAATTGTGGTATTTGTTAGAATCGTGTCAATAGATTATAAAATTTCAACTGATATAATTAATATTTATTAATAATTAAAGATAATACTAATCAAAAATTTATATTAGTATACGTGTCTAGACGAAATGAAGGAAGTAGTAGCGTATGATCTAATTATTTCTGAAATAATCAAATATTTTAACTAAACAAAGCCGTAATTTGTATGTGAGCCATGTGATTCAAGAAATTGAATGTTCTTTGGCTAATGAGGTAAGAAAAGGAGGAAGTTGGACTGAGGCAGTCAAAAAAAGAGAAAAGCCAAGGATCCCATTATTTGTTGTAAAGAACAGACAAAAAACATAGCCAGATTCCATTTACTTTTTCTTTTTTTATTTTCGTTTTTTTGGTGTGAAGGTCCATTGCCCCATTTTATTTTTTCATTAGCGTTAGTTGTATAGTTTAAGGTAGGACTAATCATGATTAGATTTGTAATATTCCATTGAAATGTCGCTTTCCGCCTTAATCTATATTTTGTTTAAGTAAAGCATACATGATGATATCAATCTGCGTATCTAAAAGACAGCCAATAACCTTATTATAGGTGTATTATAAGCTGTGTTATCCAAAATCGCCGCTTATAATTGAGAATGATTTTGTATAATTGATTAATAAATACTTCCATGAAAGAAATAAATTTGTATTTTAAAAGTTATCACTTGCTAGTTGCAAGCTGTCTAGTTGGGGTACGAAGTACGATATGATTAACGGCTCCACATTTGCAATGAAGCAAAAATGCAAATAAACAAGTGACTTTCCTACTTTCAAAAAATTATTGTATAAAAAATAAACGAAAAAAAAATGTCGGGACTTCCTTTAAAGAATTAAAGTGGGGCAAGTAGGATATCTACTGATCCACTCCACCCGCTTTAAATAAATGGATGAAAATTTGAATTTAATGGATGAGAAGCAGGTGACTGATGAAGCAAGTAATGGATCAGATCAGATGTGAATGATACTTTTTTTCACCCGTTAATCATCCACCTATCCGTTCAACATATATTAAATTTTTAATCTAAGAATTTTAATAATAAAATATAAAATGTGCAAGAAAATTACTTTTTTTTTTTTTTTTTTTTTTTTTTTTTGCAAATTAATTTTTCAAATAATATGTTGTCATTGTTTACTTTTTTTATTACTAAAATAAAAAATTTATTGTAAAAATAACCAAAAATAGAGTTAATGTGATTTTTTTTTTCTTTTCATTTTAATACTCATCCATTAGTCATCCGTTTCATCCGCGGATGATGGACGGATGGATATAGATGATGGGTGAAACGGGTGATGGATGAATGTGGATGGAGCAATTAGAATAATAGATGTATGTGGGTGAAGCTCCCCATGATCCGAATCCGATCCATTGCCATCTCTAGGGGCAAGAACTCTAAGGACCATGATTGCAGAGGTCACATAAGCTACACCCTCATTTATTTAAAATAGAATCTATTTTGTGCGCTAATTCACAAAATGTAACAAGAAATAAATCTTTGATAATGAGGTTCCTAAATAGTAAATACTGTAAAGAAAGGTTGGTGAAGATGGGTAGATATTTTTATTTTTTGAAATAAATTGCAAAAAAATTGAGTATTGACATTTTAGAGTGTTATGGTGAAACGATGCAAAAATGACTAGAATCCCTTACCTTATAAAAAATTTATAAAAATATTACTGTGATTCCATTTATACCTATAAAAAAGTTTATTTACATATTACCCCCATTTAAAATTTTGATATTTCCCCTTCTCTCTTCTATGTTGCTATGTCTTTTACTCCGTTTTGTCTCAAATCACGATCCTTAATATTCTCATCCTGTACTTTCAATTCAAAGTTCTAATTTTGTTTTGGTTGGGCGGTTAATCCGTTCATAGAATAAATAAAAATGTATTTTCTATTTTTTGAAATTAAAATTGTTGTTAACAATTTGTTTCCAAGAATTTCTCTCTCTACTGCTTCCCCTCCCTTGGCTTCTTCGTCAACGGATGATGTTCCCACCACCACCAGCAGCGCTTAACACCAAGGATTTACCTCCAAGAAACCCTCTATCATCTTACTCCTCTTTTGCAGATTACTTTTTACTAAGATACCCCTACCCAATTTTATTAATCAATTTTTACTTTTATTAATCAAGTATTAATCATTATTTATATTAATCAATTCCAAGCTTTTTCTTTTGGTGTTTTTACCCGGTTCACATCCTTTGGGTTAATCCGGATTTGAGACTCAGTTTTGAGTGGTTAAGTTCCAGTCTCATCCTAATTACTGTTATGGGAGACTGAACACGCGGTCTTCCCTACTAAGTATAGCCCTAAAGACCACTACATCAACAATTAACTGGTATACAAAGTACAAGGTTTATGTATACACGCTATGTATATAAAATGAATTTAAAATAATATATTGTGATACACGCTACGTATATAAAATGAATTTAAAATAATATATTGTGAGACATAGCGTATGAAAGGTTATTCTTTTTCGAGAATCTAAGGAATCACCCTTTAGAATAGAAACGTTTGTCCGACTTCTATTGATGAATTACATTCATTTTGACATTATGCAAGATCAAGTCTTTAATCATAGTACCCCATAATATCTAAATGTTTAAAATGGTTCTATCGGGTTGGAGTAATAAATTGGGGTTCATATTATTGTCCGGTCATTATTTCTTAGTGAGCGCAATATGTGTAATTATGCAATAACAAAAGAAGTTGGAGGTAAATTGGGGTTCATATTATTCCTTGTTACCTCCAATTCTCATGGCTAAAGTGGTCTTGGTCTAATTGTAAATTAAGAATATAAGGTCCTAGATTTAAAAATTGTAAATTCCCTGTTGTGTATTTATATTTTGTTGTGAAAATGTGAAATAAAAGAGCCTCTAGCTCTTTCTTCACCTCCACCATGGATTCAAGTCAATATTTTGGCATGGTAAGGTTTTTTCTTTAGAGAGGTTGAAATGGCAAGCAAGGAGATGATCTTAACAGTGGCGGTTTCAGTATGGGTTCAGTGGGTTTAGCTGAACCCATTCCGGACTTCTGAAATTTCTGTAAAATCTGAAAAATAGAAAGCGTATAATATTAATTTATGTGCGTTAACTAGTTGTTAATGAGGAGATGGATCAGTAGTGAAGGCCTGCGTGCAATACGAAGTTGCTCCTCACATTGACTCGGGTTCAATCCTTTACCCTCATTTTTTTTTTGGCTTTTTAGCCCCATCTTTCGTTTGTGGTGGTTTTTTACTTTTCATTTATTTGATTTTACCTTGAAAAATCAATAATTCACTGTATAACTCCATTTTAAACCAAACCTATTTAAAATCAATAATCATTCATATAAATATGTTTTAAACCAAGCCTATTTAATGTTATTGTTATTTCCTTGTTCTACTTGGTCATTGGATTTTTTAATAACTATAGTTGCAACTTTGGATGAATGGCATTGCTGTCACCTCCAAATTATGGTTGTGACTTGTGTAATTGGTAACTTATTCTTTGTTTTTTTTATTTGACCTACTATATTATCATGTTTGCCGATGCATAAATCTAATCATCAATATATTTAATTCCTATAAGTAAAATTATAATCAATAGATATTGTGATAAGATTTATTGAGACGATTAAAAAAAATGTACATGGCTATGTTTTAAGTTAAGTATAAATCACAAAAGGCGATCAAAGGTGAGTGCGAATAGTGCAAAAGTCAAATTAAGTCAAATAATAAACAATGAAGGAAATATATTATTTTACGTTCGAAAACTCCGAACCCATAACAAAAAATTCCTAAAACCGGTGGGTGTTTGGGAGTGCGGTTTCTAGAGAAGAATTATAAACAATTATCTGTTAAAATGCATTTATCAACAATTTTAGGATTGTATTCAATGTGCGTTAGTGGCTTAATGTATTCGATATTAGTTCATATTGCTTCCAAAGGAGTTTCATTTTTGCCTTTGTCATCTTTCACCCTTCAAATGTTGTTTTGCAGGTATTTTGGCTCATACTCAAGCTTGAAGTTAAAGAAAAGCCATTTTTAAGATCGTAGCGTACACTATTTTTCAGTTGTTTAAAATACGTAGGTACAAAACACTCAACAAAATTAGTATTTCATGCTCAAATGTACGCATAATTTCCTATTTATCATTTGTGGTATGTGTCAGTGAGCGTTGACGGAAAAAAAAAACATTAAGATCTGGCTATATTTGCAAATAGTTCCCAAAAAAAAAAAATTGATAAATAAAAATCTCTTTCAGAAGAATTAGCCGTACCGCGCGCATCGCGCTTGTTGGAACCCTAGTTATAGTATAAAGCTCATTTAGAACATAACTTTTTTTTTTATTAAACCATATATTGCCAACAATTTAAAATTTGCATCACTTGTCTGTGTACAGACTTTTAAAGACTTATTTTATAGTATTACTAGCCCTACATACATGCGATGCGCCAATGCATGCGTTGATAAATCAAAAGTGTTTTAAATCAAAAGTATGACTTCGATGTGTTTAATTCTTGTTACACCTCCAACATCTTCTTCACAACGTTAACCCTTTAAATGTGCTTTTGAAGTTTAAAGCCTTCTCAATTAATTGTCATCTAATTTTTTG